CACACACACAGACATACACATGTATATTCACACATATTTAGGCAAAGAAACAAACACAAAACACACAAACACACAAACACACATTCACACTAAAAACAGACACACACACACACATACTGAATACCAGCATTATTCATCAGTAGTTTTCACTGAGTATCATAATATGTACATGTACATTACAAACCTCATGAGTTACAAATTTAGTTAATCACTTCATGTTTCATTATCAAGCATCATAATATAATACTTACCAGTTCTTTCCATTTTCTTTTGTTAATGTCCAGTAACCATACATCATAGGCAGGTGATCCACCTACCACTAGTAAGTGTGGTCCTGAACTAGTGGTAATCAGTACACTGGAATGACCCCATCTTCCCTTAGACCATTGTACTGATCCTTGAGGATTAGGTACTTCTAATATATTCTGAGAGAATAATAAATTAAACTTTAATTGTGAACCCACAATTTACAATCAAAAGAATTTCACAATCAAAGCCCATCCTACAATATTAACTCACTACTGATGTCTTAGTGAAACTTATCATATACAGTTTATTATGACAGATTTCATTATCAGTAGAGCCTCCGAACATTACTGCAGTGTTATTAGTAACTGGTGTTAGAGTGAAGTCATTAATAGGAGGTGGTCTGTCTCCAGTAACAACAGGAGATATCCATTGATCTAATAATAATGTACAAACATTCATGTACACTTACTTACCACATACACACACATACATTATACACATTCATCATACATATGTATGTGTATATGTGTGTACATTATTATTTATACATACATATCATGCATAGACACACATCACTATCACATGATACACACACACACACACACACACACACAGATACACTCATGTATGGATACACACACCATCACACACACCACACCTGTACACATGAAGGAGAGGTCCAGGGGGTCTCCTTATTTCAAGATTACTAATCTATTCTGGTACATGTCACTTATGATTGTTAATGAATAATTACACAAAACTCATGGAACATTGTATGTGGGTAATTTGTGACTCATGTGATACAGAACTTTATTAAAAACGATAATAAATAACATGAACCTACACACACACACACTCATGTCACATTAGCTTATGTATAGATACATGTACATATACAAACATCACACACACACAGATACATGATAATACTCACACACACATAACATGCACATTATAGATACACGTCACATACACACGTCATACATTCATAAATTCTCACATACATTATATGCACTATCATACACAGACACATCATAATGTATGTATTAGTACACACACACACGTCACATATAGACACACGTCACCATCACACACAAACACATGACACACAGAGACACACTAACAAACACACTTAATTATTAACAATCTGTTTTATGTACATTAATATAAATTATTCACTTTGAAATACTCATCAACTATTGTGTATCAATGATGAGAATTACTGACCTGATGAAATCCTGTAATAATGTATCTCACTACATCTACCATAAGCTGAATACTGAGCATCAGGTTGCTTTGGAGTATTGATAGAAGATGATGCCCCACTTCCTCCAATTATGACAAGATAATCTTCACCGTCAAAATTAGCTGATACTATTCCAGAGAACCCCTTCTTCATTGGGCCACGATCAGAACTAGCAGGAGAGAGTTCCTTCCACTTCAATGAATCCACAAGAAACAATGTAAGCATCGCAATATTGATAACCACCATACCCACCAAAATGTGAT